CAATTGGTCTGTTGGTAATAGACATACACCTGAAGTACTGCTCTATCATTGTATTAGTTCATTCTGCCGCCCCATTGGTACTTGGATGAAAAGCCGAACTAAACCTCTGGGAAGACCCAGTTAACTTTATGAACTCCCTCCAGAATTTGGCTGATAACTGGACCTCCTGATCAGATATGATTCTCTTTGGGACTCCATGCAATTAGTAAATGTACTTTAGGAACAGCTTCACCAGTTTGTGACTGAAGGAAAGCTGGAACAGGCAATGAAGTGAGCCTGTTTGAAAAAAAGATCATCCACTCTCCAAATTGTTTCCCCCGTTTTCTGGGAGTTCCACGATAAAGTCCATTGCTATTTCCTCCCAGGGTCATGATGGCTCGGCTACTTGTAACAGTCCCAGGGGTTTTCCCAGTCTATTTTTTTCTTTGCTGCACATATCGCACAGCTCTTTACATAGCTTTTGATGTCCTTTTTCATTGCTGGCCGCCAAAATTGTCTATGTGCCAAATGCCATGTCTTTAGAAATCCAAAGGGACCAGCTTGCTCGGTGTCGTGGCTTCTTTGCAGAATTTCAACCCAGAGGGTGCTGGGGATGTATAATTTCCATGCCAACCCATCCCAGGAAGTTAGGAGTTGTTTGTTGTCCTTTAATCAGGAGTCAGTTTGTATCTCAACTCTTGAGTTTCTGGGTTACTTGTCTCCTCCCCTCCGGTTCACTCAATCGACTCCTAGTCTGTTGCCTCGTGGTAACTTGTGCTGCTTTCTGAGTGAGGGGAATAATAGTATTGACCACTTCTTTGCGCTTGCTTTTGTACTGGGGCATTCGGGACAGTGCATCCGCTAGAAAATTCTTCCTTGAGGGACATATTTTAGTGTGAAGTCAACCAGTTAAAGTACTGCACCAATCAAACTTGTTTGGGAGAGAGTTTCTGAGGGGTCCTAGGACTTCCAGATTTTTATGATCAGTCCATACTTCCAATGGCACGGGTCTCCCTTTTAGGAAGTGCCACCAGGTTAATAAGTGCCCATCAGACCATGAAGGCCTCTGTCTTCTATCACTGCCCACATTTCTTCAGGGTCAGGGAGTTTTCTGGAGTTATAGGTGCATGGTTGAAGGTTCCCCTCTTTGTTCCTCTAGAGAAGGACATCCCCAGATCCAAAGTTTATGTAGCTGCATGTGTTGGAACAAATATTGTCTGATACAGTTTTTTTTTTTAATTTATCAAACTTTTATGCCACTCATCTCATTGAAGGCAACTCTAGGCAGGTTACAGAAAGTACGGAATAAAGCATTAAAACAATAAAAAAGTTAAAATTCAATTGAAATAAAGCTCAGCAGGATGGAGAGGGAGTGAGCAAAATGTGTACAGAAGGAGATGGGGTATTGTCTACTCTATTAGCTACCTCCGACATGCCAGGTCCCCATTGGGATCCCAGATTTGTTGACATATCCATTTCTTCAAGGCCTTTTGGAAGACCAAAAGGGTGGGAGTGGATCTAATCTCGGGAAGAAAAAAGTTCCAAAGGGCTGGAGCCATAACAGAAAAGGCTCTTCTTCTGGACCCATCAGCCAAAATTCCTTGGCTTAAGGGGTCTGCAGCACACCTGTTAAACCAGCATAGATGGAGTGGGATAATCCCGTTAAGGTGATTTGGTTTCTCAGGTAGCCTGGACTCATGCTAAGAAGGGCTTTTAAAGTGATAACCAACATCTGGAATTGAACCCAGAAGCAAACAGGCAGCCAGTGCAGCTCGTGGTGTTGTGCCACTCTAGGTGCCCCAAGAACTCTTCACACAGCTTCCCCCTGCACCAACTGAAGCTTCTGGATTCTCTTCAAGGGTAGCTCCATGTAGAGTGTATTGAGATGACTAGGGCTTGAGTGACTGACCACAGGGACTTCCAATTTAGAAAAGGATGCAACTGGCTCACAACACAAAGTTGTACAAAGAGTCTTAGTCACGACTGCCACCTGTTCATCAAGCAGGAGTTCAGAAGAACCCCCAGATTACACATCAGGTCTGTCTGGGGTAGTGCAATCCGAATAAGAATTAAAGATGTTAAAGTCCCAGAATCAGAAGCGCCAGGCACCCAAAGCCACTTGGTCTTACCAGTATTCAAGCAAAGTTTGTTGTCCCACATTCAGACCCCCACAACTTTCAGGCACTGTGAGAGGGCACCAACAGCATCACTTGGAGATGTAAAGCTGAGAATCATCAGCACAGTGGTGGTACCTCATCTCATGGTGACAAATGATATCACCTAGGGACTTCAAGTAGATGTTAAAAAGGACAGAGTACTGAGCTCTGCACCCCACCTCTCAATCCCTATTAACATCAATTGGGATTGGCCTTGGAGAAAGGAACTGAACCATTGCTAGACTGCTGCCCAGCCCCAAACTAAACAGCTGTACTAAATGATTATTGTATCAAAAGCTGCTGAGAGACCAAGGAGAACAAGAATAGATGCACTCTCCCCATCCCATTCTCATCAGAAGAAGAGTCATCCACAATGCTGTTTCTATCCCATAACCAGACCTGAAACCTGTCTGGAAGAGGTCTAGATGATCTGTTTCATCCAGGACCCTCTGAAACTGCCAACAACCACCTTGTCTACCATCTTCCCTAGAAAGGGAAGGTAGGAGACTGGGTGAAAGTTGTCCAGATTGGTGGGATCAAGAAATGGTTATTTAAGGAGGGACAAACCAGAGCCTCCTTAAAAGGTTCTGACAGTTCCCTTCTGCAGTGAAGAAAGTATCACTACCTGAACACACCTGACTGTCACCATTTTGGAGACTTTCACCAAACAGGAGGGACAGGGATCTAATTGATAGATGGTTCACTGACAGCATTGAAAACCCTATCCACTTCATGTCCAACAAAATTGAATTGTTCCCAGTTAATCGGGTAAGACTGACATCTGAAATGCCCTATGCATGGGCTCCAACTGGGAACAAATCCAAATGACTTTGTCCATCAGGTGTTTCATAAATTTCTCTTCAGGGCCCTGAATATTATCACCTAAACCCTCCTGTCCCTAGAGGGACTGTGTGATTCTGAACAGGGCCACTGGGCAACACTGTGCAGACACCATAAGGGCAGAGAAATCAGGATCTTTCAGTACTCTTACAAGCCACAAGATAGGCCTAATAGCAGCTCTAAGTTGTATCAATTGGATTCATCCCTCATTTTGCTCCAGTGGGCCTCTAAACATCTCTTGGCTCTTTTCGGAACTCACAGCTCCTCCATAAACCAGGGGGAGTGTCAGAAGTGATGGGTCAAGATAGGCCACACAGGCATGATCCTGTCCAAAGCCTTGGCTGCCCTTTGGTTCTGGAGATAACCAGAACTTCTGTGCAGTAATTCCCCAGGATATTTCCCAGTTCTCTCTGGAGCTCATTTGGGTCCATCAGTTGATGGGTCCAGCCTCCCTGCACAAAAGAATCTCGAACACCAGGGCGTGATCCCACCATGCTGGGATATAACATTAGATTCCCCACCCAATCATGTTGCCTTAGCTCTAATTAGATCATATCTGGTGTGAAACCACTGTCATGATGATCTAGGATAGGCCCATAGCCAACATGGTGACCATGAACTCCTGGGCCACTTAAAAGGCCCAACCCAGGGATATCAGGTTCAAGTCTCCCAGGACCATAAGTTTGGGGAACACCACCACCAACCCTGAGATGGCCTCCAGCAGCTCAGGCAGGGAGGCTGCTATGCAGCAGGGAGGTTAGTGCACTAGCAGTAATCCCAGCTGATCCCATGAGCTCATCTTCAGAAACAGTCTCACAACCAAAGACCTGAGAAGCAAGGCCCCTAAAGGCCAAGAGGGATTCTTGGATGTCCACTGCTCCCCTTAATTCCCTAGCTCTTGTAACATTGCATGCCCTTCACCATTATAAAGTGATCTGCCCCAAGTCTTCATTAGGTGATCATCCCCCAACCTTATGGTTGACAGGTGGTTATGAAGTGCTAAAAAAACCTCAAGTCTTCAATCATTTCTGTCATCTAAGACTGTTACATGGTGTTAAAGAGTTTATCTACTGAATTATATTCCTGCCTGCTAATTCCTGTTCTAAATAGGAATAAATAAAGTTGAAGGGACACCTAATCAGAGAGAAACAATTCTAGACTAGTATTATTTTCTCCCTCCTTCCAATGAGAGTTACAAGATAACCAGGATATAATATTTGGGGAATAGTTTTTTCCCTTTATTCAAGAAAAAGTCACCATGCTCAAGTTAGATAATCTGATGGTTGTAATACCCATATATTGAAATGATCCCAATATTACTGAAGCTTAAAGGAATAACAGAAAGATGTTTAAACTGGCACTTTCGAAAACAAATCTTTACTTATCACATTTATTGCTGTACACCTCACTGAACTTAGAGTGGTCCCAATACCTTCTACAGAAGTTCCTCCTAACATCCCTTGCATCTCACTGAAAGTCCAGCATCTGAGCCCTTGCCACTTGCCACTGAAGGAATATTCAAAAGGATTGTTTCCTTTGGTACCAATCCTGCAGGAGGGATAATTCTTCAGGCAATATTCTATATCCTTTCCCTAGGAATATGATATTGTCAACTACATCAATTTCAGCCTGTTTAAAACTTTCTGACCTACTGAGTTTTTAAACTGATTTATTCATAAGGAGAAGATTGTAGATAAATGAGCAAGTTTAATTTAAAATATCAATATCAAATATTTTTAAAACCCTCAATCTTTTCTTTAAACAGGTTTAAAATCTGTTTCTGTCTTTACTTTTGGCGCTTGACATTAAAGACCTAATCCAAATTCTCTATAGTCTTGTTCCAGAAAGGATGCAGCTGAGTCAAGTTTAGAGATTGAGATAATCAGCGTCATATTCAGCATCTAATACTATTGTAGGAATGGATAGATCTGTACTATTAATTTTGATGACAGATTTTTAAATTACTCCCAAATCACATGTATTTTGTAATTTTAACAATGTTTTACTCTATTCTGATTTCTCCAGGCTCTCTGACATCACTGTTTGTCAGGCTTCCATGTGGTGGCATTGGGGTAAGCATTTTTTTTTCTTATTTGATCAAGTAATGCAGCAAGTCTTGATTAAACATGTTGATTAAACTGACTAAATATACAATTCTCATTTTTATTATAGAACTATACTTTTCTATATATTCAACATCTGGTTTTACAAATCAGTTCCATTTTTGTCCAGTATAATACTTCTTTATGCATACAAATGTCAAGAGCAATGGTAACTCTTTGCGTGCAATGGCTTCTGGCTTAATACTTCAACAGGTTTTCCGGGATCCAGCCTATTATGAAGTACATAGCTAGCAATCCCAATATTTATGGATACCTCTTTGTTAGGAATAAAATTTTAATGAACATACCCTTGTACAACATCCAATGCTACTAATATTCTAATAGGATAGATCTAAGGTTTTTTTATTAGATGCATTACAGTTTAAGTACATGCTATATATAATTACATGCTGCCCTTGTGAAAGTCATGTGTGACACTAGCCACTGCATACCGATAGTGTCAGAGTTTGTACAGCTTTACTATGTGAGACAACTCAGGAGCAATAACAGCAAACAGGTTTGTAATAAATAGTTCTATCTACAAAAGAATATATACTGTACATACACTTACTATAGGCAGAGTTCAAACAAGCAGCAATTACAACAGAGAATACACACAGTGAGAGAGAATCCTAACATGGCCTCTTCTTATTATACAGGTTATTATACAGGTTCTTAAAGGGATAGCAGCCAAAAACCTTGCTGACTGATTCCCATCATTGCATCAGCTGGTCAGCTCTTCAGGATAGTGATATCCTGACACTCCTCCCATTTAAAACTGAACAATTGTCAATCCAAATGCTTTGATATACTCTTGATGTTTGTCTACATTTAAAGACTTGGTTAACATATCAGCTATATTATGTTCAGTGGAACATTGCTCTAATCTTATCAGTTTATCCTTTTCTGCCACCCTGACATTACAATACTTTATATCTACGTGTTTACTCCTGTTTCCGTTATATTCTCCTGTTGCCATTTTTATATATGCAACATTGTCTTCAAATACTGGTACATCTCCCTTTACATTTACATGTACATTTACATTTACATCCTTTAATAATTGTACATACATACTAGGTTATTTCAGAACATGCCTCAGACAATGCTATGAATTTGGCTTCAGCAGTGAAAAGTACTATTGAAGGCTGTTTTCTGGATCTCCATCCAATTATAGCACCGGCAAACAATATTACAAACCCTGAATTTGATTTTCTGTCCCACACATCATTTGCCCAGTCACTATCTACATAACATTGTAACAATAATTCACCAGATGGCTTATCCATAGTCCTAATTCCTGCTACTAAAGCCAATGCTAGCTCTATGGTCTCACTTCTTATTGTTGGGGCAAACACTTAATCATAATGAACATTTTTCGTTTACTTAAACCTCTGTGTAACTAACCGTGCCTTATACTACAGTTCATTGCTGTGTAACACCTTCTTTTTATATACCTATTTACATCCCCTGCCTTTTGTCCTTCTGATAATCTCATGGGTGTAAAAATCTGAAGCACATTCATAGACTTCATTTCACTGTCCATAGCTTTCTTCAATTTGTCCTCTTCTGCCCTAGGCAACAACAAAAGCTCTTGGTAATTATGGGGTTTATATCGAACACTACATACTCTAACCCCACTTGCTGAGAACTGATCAGGACGTACACCTTCATTGCTTCTTTCAGATCTCCTCAGTATCATCTGTTCCTGCAATTTTGTGACTTTTCTTTTTATCTCAGGTTTATCCTCTTCTATATCTACTACTTCTGACCTGCTTTTGTGATTTTCCTGTATTGGGCTTTGTATAGCTTTTCCTTTGAGAGAACTAGTGCTATGCATTGGCATGAACACTTCAGAATTAGCATGTATCTTATTACAGTTATTTTGTTCTGCAAAATTAGCAGATCGTGAAATTACCACCTTTCTGGTTCCATCTGTGAATCTATAACCTTTGGAACCTGGTTCATATCCAGTAAACCTACATTTCCTGGCCTTTTTCTGTCCTTTTTTTCTGGTGACTTTGGGACTATGCACCCAGGCATAACTGCCAAATGTTCTTAGGTGAGTCAGTGAAGGTTTTCTTCCATATAGTAGAAAATAGGGAGTTTCATTTATTGCAACACTCCATACTCTGTTTTTCAAATAATTGGCTGTTTTCAAGGCTTCTCCTCAGTACATTCTACTCATTCCTGCATCTGCAAGCAGTGAGTCTTTCATGGTTTGCATTATGCCATTTCTTCTTTCAGCCACTCTGTTTTCTGCCGACAAGTACAGATTCGTACATTTATGCCTTATGTCTAAACTTCTCAGCCATCTTTGGAAACTATCAGACATGAACTCTGATCCCTGTCTGTTTGTAGCTGAAATACTTTACAGCCATATCTGTGCTTTACAAGTCTTATCCATTGCTTGAACTGTTGCAATACCTCTGTCTTGCTTTTTAGCAGATAGCAAAACTCATATCTAGTCTAATCATCCACTATCACTAGGGCATACCTGGCTTCTCCTAGAGAGGGTGCCACAAGACCAATCAAGTCACCATGTACTAACTGCAAGACTCTGTTTGCCTTGAGCTTTTCTTATTCACAGGCTGGACTTTGGACTTTCACTCTTTACAAACAGCACAATCTTAGTACATCTTGCATTTTTTTTATCTTAAGTCCCTCAGCTAGGTCTGGCATCTTCTGCAGTACTCTGAAATTTGCATGTCCCAATCTCCTGTGCAAGAAATATACATAATTGTCATGTGTGGGAGTATTTGTAAGTGTTCATGCACAACCTTTCTCTTACTTTCCTAGTATGTATAGATTATCCCGCTTAACTCCATGTGCCTGAATTCTTCCATCTTTCTTTATAGTGTATTATCCTCCAGAAAACAGTATTTCATACTCCTGACTATGAAAACTTGAAATACTTAATAGATTATGGTTAATTCCGGTACATACAATACATTATCTAATGTTTCCCCTATCTCATACATAGACTTTACCTTCCCCTTTAACAGCAGACCGTTGTCCATTAGCCAAACTGACAAATGTTTGCTTAGCTGGTCGCAGGCCAGAAAATGTTTGTGGGTCATTTGCAATATGCTGACTTGACCCACTGTCCAACAACCAAGTGTTTCTAGGGTTTTTCAGATGATGTTGCTGCCAGGGAAAAGGATGATGGCAACAATTTGAAATAATCTGATTAGTGATACAAATATTATTTTGGAAACTATCCCAGGAAATATCTCTACATTTTGTAAAATAAGATAAAATGAACAGTTGAATTCCTCAGTATGTGAAATTACATAGAGACAAATTTATTGAGAGGTTATCTTCCACTGCTCTAGGCAAATCTATAGTCTAAAACCATAGCCCACTGAAGACCTACCAAAATGCAATTTAAATCAATATTGGCAAGAAAAAATACCAATTAGTACAAAATGTATATACAGAACTCACTCAGAAATTCCGATTCCAAATGTTTTTCATATTTTGTCTGTCTTTATTTTGTATTGAGCAATTTTATTTACATAGGTGACTGTCTTGTCATCTCTTATCCACATAATAAAGTTTGATCAAGTTATGTTTGAGGATGTCCATTAACCTTTTAAAGTACAAAAATAATTTCTTTATTTGCTCTAATTATAAGATATAAGCTCTAGTTCTAAGAAAAATAAAATATATACAGGATGGGTGAGCTAAAATAATTTAGAAGCCAATTCTCCCAATTTTCTTAAATTGTCCCAGTTTTCTTTTCTAATTTCTTTCCTTTGCAACTTAATGTCTAATGATGATGTTATGCTTGCATAGGACAATTGGTCTTTGTGCAGATCAAACTTTTTCATTGTTGTTATCAGGTACTAGAAAAACAAGATAGTTGTTTCCTTCTAGGAACTGTCAAAACATTAATAAACATATTATATAGCCAGTTAACAAAATACTCATAATCAAGGGGATCTATCTTCCATAACCAAAGGATCGTCTCCTACCAATATATGCAGGACTGCCCCCTGATCAGAGCCATTTGTCTACATTTAGCAGTTTAATTTTGATAACAGAAATTAAAGTGAAGTATTGGGAGCTGTGTTTTAGAAGATGTATGATATGATACAGACAAGATATGTTTCTTATCAAAAATCTTATATCTGACTATGTCCCAATGAATGCATGAGGATAACCACTTAAAGAACTCCACTTATAGTATATAAGCAATTAATCTGTAGCGAAAGATTTTTTTAAACAAAAGTAAAAGTCTATAAAATTTTTGATGGCGGTGCTACCAACTTTTGCTTGGGGAGTAATTCACTTTCAGTTTTTATCATTATTTGCATTTATAATTATAACATTTAAGTTATGATTTAATAGTTCCAGTAGTCAGCATGCAGTACTCTGTGTAGACTAAATTGTTTCAGAATTTACAACAGTATCTTTACAATATTTCTGAATCCATCTTTATTCAGGTGGACAATGATACAATTTGGAATGAAGTGCATTCATTCAGTGCTGCTCGTCTTGCTGTTGGCTGTGTCATAGAGCTTGTATTTAAAGTAGCTACGGGAGAACTAAAGGTTGGTCTGATATTGATAATATTTTGGCTTTCGTTTTTACATGTTAAAGTGACTGGATTACTTTTGTTTTCATGCCACATAGCAAACAACTTTTACAATATTTCCAAATTTAGAGTTTATAACAATATAAAAAAGGCAGAAATTCAGGAATTGTGACATTTGAGAACCATACCATTAAAAGTTTTGTATAATGCAATTATAGTTAGGAATACTAAAATCTCTCTGATTTTTATGATTAGTAATTTAATTTAATTTATTTACTCCAGTCTTTTATAACACATATATAGCTCCTTAATCTTGGGCTGGACTACTGTAGTATACTTTTGAAAAAAAATATTACAAAATGCAGCTATTGTTATAGATGGAACAGGTCAATAGCCCCCTGTGAAGCAAGGTTGCATAAGCTGCATTACTTGCCAAGATGATTTGGAATTCACTACTAAATTTATCTAAATTTCATTATTCTAAAGAGACCTCTTCCAACTGACATTTACATACATATATGATTTTCTAGAAATCTGTTTCTCACAGTAATCTCTAAGCCATGTGCATTTCTTCAATTCTGACTGTGGGGTGATGGAAGGGTAAGTACTGACAGTTGAGACTGAGTACTTGGGGTGCGGGGAATGGAAGGATTGTATTTCTTTGGTGTCATCTGATGATCAGCATTCTCTTGAGATCCGTTAAGACCACTTGGGGGTTTATCTGTGCCCTGAAACAGGGTGTAATTGGTTGTGGAATCTTGTTGGAACTGTGTTGTAAACTGGAGATAGATGATTCAGTTTGGTGAACGGAAGCGTTAACCAAACACATCAACTCAGTGGACAAATACTTTTAAGTTCACACAGGAAGATGTTAAGGAAAGCAGTATGGCTTTCCTGGAATGTGCACTGCACGTTAAGGAAGACAGAAAGCTTAACACTGAAGTTTATAGAAAACCCAGGCACAGAGCTCAGTATTCACATTTTGATTCTCACCGCCAACTGGATCACAAAATATGAGTGTTCAGAACCCTAAACCATAGGGATGAAAATTTGCCTACTAATAAAGAGGGAAAAGAAAAAGTACTAAAACACATCAAGGAATCCCTCTGAACCTGTGATTATCCTAACTAGGCTTTCATCAAATAAAAAGAAAAAAAAGAAAGATCTAGGAAGAGCTCCTCCATTACAGACAAAGAAGAAAAACAAACGTAGCAACATTGTCATTCCATATGTAGCAGGTATATCTGAAAACTTCAAGGGGATTTTCAATCAATACAACATACATATATACTTTAAACCCAAGAATACACTAAGTCAGAAGCTTGTCCACCCCAAGGATAAAACGCCCAGACACAAACAACAAAGTAATATATATAATACATTGCAGTGAAACGTGCAGATCTGTACAGTGATGAAACAAAAAAACTATTTCACAAGCACATGGCACAACATAAGAGATCAAATCCACAGGACAAGATTCAGCAGTCCATCTGCATTTAAAAAAGGTCATTCTTTTGAAGATAGCAAAGGCCACATTTTGTATAGACAGGACCATTGGTTTGAAAAGGGGTAAAAGAATAATTAATGTTAGAATTGAACACTCCCCCCTCAACAGAGGGGAAGGAATAAGACATCACCTATTTCCAGTTTACAGTGCAGCCCTTACAGCTGTTCCAAGAAGACTCCACAACCAATTGCACCCTGCTTTAGATTAGCCTCAGGGCAAGCCTGAGCCCTCTGTGCCCTTAACAGTTCTCAGAGAGAGTGCTAACAACCAGATGACTGCAAAGAAATACAATCCTTCCATCCCACTCTCCACCATCTTATCAGTACCTATTCTTTCATTCCCCCATCATCCAATCTCAACTGAGTACCTGTCCTTCCACACACACAACCTGCCATCAGAACTGATGAAGATTCTTGGATGAGAAATGAAATGTTTTAAGTTCTTTAAGTTTTTCTTTTTCCAAAAGAAAAAATAGTCCAGTTGCTTTTGAAGAAAAAAAGCACCTTTACGACAATAATGGCAGCTTATTTCGTGATCTGATGTGAATACCAGTATAGGTTCTTCCTCTGAACCAATACAAGTAATGCTCAACTTGAAGTGGTCACCTAACCTCAGTTTAAAAAGTTACAATGGATTTGGAAAAAATTACTTAACCTGTCCTCTAAGTTAAGGCTGTTGCACCAACCCCCATGTTATAGCATTTCAGGCACTTGGCAGTTGCCTCACATTTATAACTGGTTACAGTGTCACAGGCCACATGATTCCATTTTGCAACATTTTTTGCCATTTTCTGGCAAAAAATGCCGTTTGGGTAAGCTGGATTCAGGTTTTATAACTGATTCACTTAACAACCATTATAAAAATGGTTATAAAATCAAGTCTGGTCACATGATGACTCAGCTTATGACCACAGTGACTTAATGACCAAAATTCTGGGCTCAATTGTCATAAATTGTCATAAAGACTATCTGTATCTAATATAAAAACAGAATATTTTGGAAACAATCCAATAATTTTGCGACATAAATTTTACATGCTTGAAAAATATGTGGGCTTTTAGTATCTAATTTTTCAAATTGAGTTTTTTTGTTTTTGTTTTTGGCTTCTGATAGAATGGATTTGCTGTAGTTCGGCCTCCTGGTCACCATGCAGAGGAAAGTACCCCTATGTGAGTATGTGACTGTTTAGACTGGGAATTTTCACTTAGATGGGCAATGTATTGGCTACCTGTAATCTTCCAGATCAGCCTTTGAATGTGAGGGAGTCTTTTATTTTAGCATTTGGAGTGCTTACGGTGGGGTTAAGGGCATAAACTTTGCAGAAAGTTAAAGCATCCATTTCATCCCTTCAGAAATATTCAAACAATTTTTCCAATTAGTTTGAGAAATAAAGATTTAAATAAGACACCATGAAAACTTAGCTTTGCCTTTCTGGCAGCATTTCTATGTTGACTTCTTAACTGCTGTGGTTTTTGGTTACTAAAAATAATATTTTGTAAACTGTAGCTGCCACCAAAAAGTTGTGGCTGGAAATAAGATTCTGAAAAAATTTGAACTTTCAGTCAATTAAGTGTTGTTGGGATTTAAAACAATAATTTGTCATATTGACCAAGTGTGGTTTGATGGTATTTTTAATATATAAAATATAATTGTATAATTTAATTAATGTGTATGTACAAGAAATCGGTCTATGTATCTACATGTTGAATAGCAACAAACAAAATTGTAAAACTGTTATTACCATTGGAAGTTTTTTGAAGCTTGTATTCAGAATTTCATATTTTCATTTATAAATTCCATTTCCTTTTAGGGGTTTTTGCTATTTTAACTCTGTAGCCATTTCCGCCAAACTTCTCCAGCAGAGACTGAACGTAAACAAAATCCTTATAGTCGATTGGGTGAGTGAACCAAGTATTGTTTTAAATATATTACCTTTAGGTTGAGTATCCTTCTTTGTAGCTGCCGGGCCCATTTTTACAGACTCCATTTCCAAAATCTGACCATGATACATCCCCATGTTTTTATTTTTGCATATTGTCCTATTTACAGTTATATTGCCAGCCATCCACACCTGAAGAATAGTCACAAAATACAAAACTGACAAAATCTCAAAAACCTTTCAAGGAAAATATTAAAACTTTCAAAGAATACAATTTTTTGATGCAAAATTGCCAAGTAACAAGCATGCTAATCTGGGGAATCAGAATAAAGCAACCATGTTTATTACTATTGTTTTTGTTTAGTTAGATAAGAATTTCCAATTATTCTAAAATACAAATACAGAGTTCAGCAGGTTTACATTGACACTGGGGAGCATTTCCCTTTCAGTTACAAAATCTTTATTCTTCAGTGAAGAATAACCACTGACTAAGTTAAGCGAAAAGAAAGAAAAGGCAATATATTGAAATAGTAGGCAAACTGGTTATATCAAGTAAAAATAATGAAAACGTAATACAAAATGTGGTTTATGATTTGATAAAATAGATACCTTAGAAACTAATCAGTGTGTGGTGGTCCTGTTCAGAATCCCAAAAATATTGGTTGAGAATAAAAAAAATGGTTGGAAGAAATTGAATTAAAACCAGAATTGTTCTTATTAGGATTATTTCGGGAAAAATATGCTAAAAACGTAAAATATGTAATATTACATGTACTGACCATGGCCAGACTGACATACGCTCAGTGCTGGAAACAGCCCTACACTCCCCCAGAGGAAATGGTAATCCAAAAGATTATGAGTTGTGCAGAAATGGACAAATTAACCTTAGCTTTAAAGGATAAAGAATTATCAGAGTACTGTATGATTTGGGAATATTGGTATGAATGGATTGAGCGAAGACAGATTACATAGTAAACAGTAAAAGAAGATAAGCAATAGTTATAGTAAATATATATTCGCATAACATATTAGTTATAAATATTGCACAAAATAATGTTACAAATGAAAAACCACAATCTGTCGTTTCTCCTTATAATTTCTCCTTATTTCCAGGTTGAATCTCTCCTTGTTCATTTTCCATCCTTTATTTGTCTGGCCTTCAGGTGCTTTGGAAAATAGCTTGACCCCTTCCTCCCTGTGGCAGCCCCTTAAACATTGGACAACTTCTATCATGTCTCCCCTGGTCCTTCTCTTTACTAGACTAGCTATGCCCAGTTCCTTCAACCGTTCATTGTATGTTTTAGCCTCCAGTCCCCTAATCATCTTGGTTGCTCTTCTCTTCACTCTTCGAAAGTCTCCACATCTTTTTTATAGTACGGTGATCAAGACTGGATGCAATATTTTGGAAAGATGTGGTGCAGTGGTTCTGTGATAATACCTGCCATCTCCTTTAGAATTCTGGGGTGTAATCAGAGGTGGGATTCAGCCGATTCGGACAGGTTCGGGCAAACCAGTTGTTAAAATTCTGTGCAGTTCGGTGAACCGGTAATCCCACCACTGGCTGGCCCACCCTGCCCATCTTGCCTCTTAAAGTCACTCCTTTTCTCACTTGGTCTGGTTTGGCAGCTCGCTTTGCTTGCCAGCCTTTTCTGGTACCCAGTAGGTAGCCTAGACTCACGCTTGCAGCACAGCTGCTCTCCAGTTCCTTCTTCACTTGTGACTTTGCCCCTGGCCTACCACATGATGCGCGCACTCCAGCTGATCTCCGGCTCCTTCCCTGCTTGCCTGCCTTCGCCCCTGGCCTACCATGTGACACCCATATACCAGCTGTTCTCTGGCTCCTTCCCCTCTTGCCTGCCTTCACTCCAGCTGCTCTCTGGATCCTTCCCTGCTTGCTTGCCTTCGCTCCTGGTCTACCACATGGTGCCCGTGCCCCCACTGCTCTCCAACTCCTTCCCCACTTGCCTGCCTTCTCCTGCTTTCGCCGCTCACCTGGTAAGTTGTTATATACAGGGACAAAGGGGCCGGGTGGGTCCCTTCCTCCCCTCTCTGTTTTGGGCAGTTGTAGAAAGAAAGGGCTGGGAACTTAAAGTCAGGCTGGGCAGCGGTCCGGCTTTCCCGGCTGGCCCTGCCTCCTGATCCCTGCCTGCCTTTCCCTTCTTGCTGCAGTATCATAAATACTTTGAAACATTGACACCATTTCTTTTTGCAACCAACTTATTTTGCGAGGGTGAAACATCTTGTCTTCTTTTGATGTTCAAATATTGCTCTGTAGTCTGTCAATGGTCTATCACTGCCCCAGAGTTTCAATTATCTTTGACCTCAGAAAGCCAATCTGAAAACCATTTACTCAAGACGTTGCTCCTCAGGAAACACAGTAATTATAATTCTTTATGCCCCACAGTTAGTCAATTAGTTCTTTCTAAGTAATCCAGGACGATTTCCAAATGTCTCTTTAATTCCATTCTATAAGTTCAGTGTCCATTCTATAAGTTCCTGATATTTGAAAGTCACTTTATTTAGATGTCCCATGTTCTCATTATTAGAGCTCCAGTAGTCAGGAGATAGAGAAGTATAGAGCAGTAGATGGCACGGCAGTCCTCCAGGTGTTATTTATTTCTACTTTCTCTTCTGTCTTCTCAGTATTTTTCCCATGGTTATAGGAGTATGATGTCTATTCCATTCACCAGTAAGTGGTGCCTTCAGCTTAACTTTCAAAGTTGTACAAAATCTGACAGGTTCCATTGATATTTATTCAAACAAATAATCAAAATTCAGACAAGTAATTCCAGCATTTTAAAATGCCTTATTGCCAATAAAAAATTAAAAATCCAATCTTTCTATGTTTTTCAAGGTTTTGTGTTCTCCTCGTAAAATCACCTGGTTTTGACCTGCCTTGCTTTGTATGGTCAAAATTGAACAGAATTAGGTGTGATACTGGAAGAAGTGCTTCTGCCCTATATCAGTGGGAATGGAAAAATTCCCTTTGTTGCGATTGTGGTGCTGATATGCAAACTATTAAACATATTATGCAAGATTGCCCACGACGTGCATTCTCTGGTTCCCTAGAAGATCTGCAAGAAGCAACTCCAGAGGCAATCGCCTGGATAGCTGAATTGGACATCCAGTTATGAGGCCACTGCAATACCCCCATAGAAGGGTGTGTGTTTTTTACATAGACTGTGTATATATGTTTACTTCTGTCATGTTCTCATCATAGTAAAAACAATAAGAATATTTTGTTACTTTAGATTTTCATTGGCTATTGGTAAAGGCTTACTAACATTATGCTGATGGATTGTTCATTCAAAACCTTACTAAATTCTTTAATCCTATGCTACTTATTTACTTACTCTTGTATCTGAAGTCGCCTGTTGCACAATAGATGTTATTTTTTTATTACCCCATCCTTTTCCTAGATCAGTCACTTATTTTATGTGGCATCTCAGAAGCCTTTTTTTTTTAACATAAAATTTGAGAATTAAATTTAAAAATATGCACTTATCACTGATACATACCAAAGCTAATAAAAAATAACTAGACATCCTATGCCCAGTTAGATCATCTTTTCAAAAATACTTCCTTACCAAAACAGAATGATTACAGGTGGCAAAAATGCAGTGGGAGCAAGAGCAACATTTGACTTCCTTAAATTTCATTAGGGAAATCTTCCTTCCTTCCTTCCTTTGTTCCTTCCTTCCTTTGTTTCTTCCTTCCTTCGTTCCTCCCTCCCTCCCCTCTCCCTCCTCCCTCTGAGAGATAAAAAATTGGGGAGAGGGGATCAAAAAGAAAACAAAGTTAAAAATTGACAAGAAAAAACTTAAAGAAAATAGTTCATACAAATATAAAGTAAAATAACTTTATTTTGTTCAAACAAAAACATAAACATTTAAAATATCAAATTAAGCAATCAAAATAATGTAGAATTAATATAGCAAAATAATCTTACTCTAAGTTTTAACATATAAAAGAATATACAGTATAATGTAGGTTTCTAGTAATAAGATAAATACACAATATTTCTATAATCATAGCAGATCTAATCATTGAAGCCTAAGAACAAAACATTTTTGTTAAGGAAGAATTTGAAAGTGTTCTCTAAGGAGAAACAAAGCTAGGTTTCATCAAAGTATTTATCATTTCTACAAATTCTATTAATTTCACAATCTACACTTCAATTGTGGAAATTTGTGTATTTTTCCACCTCTGTGTAAGTCTCTCTATTATTTCATATGTATAAACAGAATCCCATGGTTTCCTTCTATTTGATTAATTGATACCTAAAAGAAAAACTTCTGGTTTCAATTTTACATTCATTTTTAGTATTTTTGCAATCAAACATATCTTATGGCAGCATTTCTTGGAGTCTTAAATATCCACCAAAGATTATAAAAAGTATTTTCATATTGATTATATTTCAGCACACACAAAAAGTTGTATAAGGGAAGACAGCAGTGGTAAGTTGCTGCCAGTTCGGGCCGGCTTGCCTGTACCAGTAGTTATGACCACTGGTTGGGCCCACCCTCCCACCCAGGGGCTATCCTGTCCTATATATCTCACCTTTTTGCTCGCGCGCCCCGCCCTTGCAGCCTAGCTGTTTTCTGCGCCTCGCCTGATTTATTTATCCTGGCTGCCGCAGGCAGGAAATTCCCTTGGTTTTGCAGCCGCGTGAAGGGGGCATGCGTGGAAACGCTCATATTTTCAGTGAACCAGTTGTTAATGTGTGTGCAGCCCACCTCTGAAGATCAGGTATCTTCACTTATATATCTTTGACAATTTCTCAGGAGTTAAATACCAAGAATACGTCATTTTATAAAAACAGTTCTATCAAATCATTTTTCAATGAAAATTTCGATCCATTAATCCAGATTTTTTTTCCATTGATCAAGCATTATATAGATCTTTTTTGACCATTTAATCATACATTCTTTAACTTATACATCCTCCTGGTTCATTTTCAAGAATAGCTTATATACCATGGCGATGAAATGTTCGTCATTAGTACATAAGTGCCTTTCA